TTTGTCAATAGCTTGACGAACCGGGGAGGGTGTTCGTGTGTCTGGACACGAGCATGGTAGATCTGCTAAATAGCAGCACGGGGGGGGTACGTAGACAGGGGCATGCGTATGCCTGAAAAAGGCTACTATGNTTTGTCAATAGCTTGACGAACCGGGGAGGGTGTTCGTGTGTCTGGACACGAGCATGGTAGATCTGCTAAATAGCAGCACGGGGGGGGTACGTAGACAGGGGCATGCGTATGCCTGAAAAAGGCTACTATGTGTGGGCCCCCTTCCCCGAATTCGGGAGGGCCACTTCTTCCCTTCCTTTCCTCGCTCCCGCGGGTGCCTTATCAGAGAGAGTTAAAGCGTGTCTTCTCCTCCCAAGTACGGACATACCAACACTCGAAGCAGTAGGTGCGGTTGGAATAGAAGACTGGCTGCTGAAAGCCCCACTATAATACCTATTCTTGGAATGAAAGACTGACTACCAATAGCCCTACTACTTCCCATCCCAACCGAACCAAAGCTTGTGACACCAGCAGAGGAACGGTTAACAGCAGTTTCGTGAGGGTTCAAGCCTGTGTTTGCGACACTACTACCCCCAACCCACATGCTGGACATGCCAAGGACTTGAGCACTGCTGCCCGTACCTCCCGCAGTCCTGCCAGTGACATCCGATTGATGCACACTGGCGTACTCTGTTCCGCCGCTTCCCGGCGCAGCAGCAAATGAAACAGAGGACTCCACCTGATCACCTCGTTGCCCAACAAGCGACTTACTGATGCTCGTGAGCTGGGACAACTGTGTCTCAATCGAATCCAATCCCTCACCACCANTTCGTGAGGGTTCAAGCCTGTGTTTGCGACACTACTACCCCCAACCCACATGCTGGACATGCCAAGGACTTGAGCACTGCTGCCCGTACCTCCCGCAGTCCTGCCAGTGACATCCGATTGATGCACACTGGCGTACTCTGTTCCGCCGCTTCCCGGCGCAGCAGCAAATGAAACAGAGGACTCCACCTGATCACCTCGTTGCCCAACAAGCGACTTACTGATGCTCGTGAGCTGGGACAACTGTGTCTCAATCGAATCCAATCCCTCACCACCAATGTGTGTGTGTGTGTTTTCGTCCTATTTATTATGGCGACAGTCCCCCCATTTTCGTGGTGAGACGTGTACTACACTTTTCAGCGTATGTAGAATACTACACGTTTCAGTGCATTTTTTCGTACAACTACAACCATCCAGGGTCACACAGGAGGGGGTAAACACCAGGGCTTTTTTCTTTTTATTTATTTTCATGCCCCACACAAGCACCTACAGCAGTACAAGTAGTACACCCTACCCTTGAAAAAAAAAAAAGACGTCCGTAAACATCGCCTGTGGGCAGCTTCTGCAACTTTACATGAAGTCTGCCATGCATGTTTGCTTCGTTTTCTTTGACCCAGCCTCGCTCATCCAGGCTAACTTCGCCTTGCGAAGATGGTAAGCTACCCCGGCCATGCTGCACCTCTCTGCTATTTCTTCGAGGTCTCCGAACTGCCTAGATACGTCAGCGTACGGTGGCGGACGAGGAGAGACTAGGGGCTGCGTACACTGTCCCTCGTCTCCCGCCGAAGCGTCGGCCTCGTCGTCGTCCGAGTCTATGTTCAGTTGGTCCATGTTGGTGGGCAAGCGACTCCTCACAAAGGTCGTCCTTCAGATCTGCAATAATCGCCTCCGCTACACCCTCTTTTTCCGCTGCACGCAACCATGTCTGCACGGCTTCCATGGAAGCCCGGGTTGGCGTTGCGCCAGGTGCCAACCCCAGACCCTCAAGCGCCTCGCCAAGGTCTTCATCGACAGTTGTCTTCTTCGCCTCAAGAGAAAGACGCTGCACCAAGTCCGTCAACTCTTCGAGACTCTCCTTCTTGTTGCGGATATTCTTTCCCACGTCCTGGTCGAGGTCAGCGTGCACCGCAGGAGGAAGAATGTCACATTTCCTCCAGCACCTTGGAAACAATGAATAGTCAAAGTACGCGGGAAGGAGAGAGAAACGTTCACGGCGAGAAAAGAAAAAAACAGAACGAGCTCAACGAAAAAAAAACATTTTATCATTTTTCAATTCAAACAAAACTTGCAAGATGATGGCGTCAGTTAACAATTTCGTCAACGTGCAACATACGTGGTAACGGTATGTGTCTAGAGGGGGGAAATTATACAGCAGTTATTGAATAATGTCGTGAACACCACCACACGGACACAACTCTTGATTGTCTGCGGCATAACTTCCTTCCACGCCTCGAGGCCTAGCTCAGCTGCGTCCAGGATGTGAGGCTGCGCTCCTTCGGCGAGCCCCATGCAGCCCCGAATCACCTCGCGTTCCTCGGCCTGCTCCCGTAGCTGCGCCGCCGACGTCACGTCGCGCGAATCCCCAGCAGCTTCGTCCTGTACCGCACTTTCCAGGCTGCGATGATCCCGGCATGCATAGGCTGGTGCTTGCTCGTGCAGTTGGGTGGCAGCTCAAGAATCTTCACCTGCTCCTTGGGGTCTACGAGGTCGGCGTGGCTGCTGTGGTTGTCCATGATGAGAAGAACCTTCTCGTTGGTGACGGAACGCACGTGTGGCAGGAACACTTGCGACCACCACAGGTTGAACACTCGTGCGTCCGACCACGCGTTCTTCTGGCTGAAGTACTTGATGGGTGAGCCCCGGCTCTTGAAGCACCGGGGCTCCTTGGCTGTGCCGATAAAAGACAGCGGCACCTTTCGCCCGCTGGCGCTCGTAGCCATGTAGGCGGTGACTCGATCCTTCGCTCTCATACCTTTCACGCCTCGCACGGTCTTCTTGAGCTCTGATGGTGCGAGGTATGTAGCCTTGGGCATGATCCTGTAGCACAGCCCGGTTGCGTCGGCGTTGTAGACGCATTCTGGGGCATACTGAGCGCACGTCTCGCGAATTACTCTGAGGCGATCGGCGATGGCTTCGTCGTCGACGCTGCCTGCTTCGCCGTGAAGTGTACGAGAGTGCAGGTTGTTGCGCTTGACAAACTTCTTTACCCACCCCTCGGACGCGTTGAAGCCGCTGTACTGCACACGTTCGCCGTCCGTAGATGCTGCGTTCTCGAGAGCACGACGAGCTTTGCGCCCGAATNTTGGTGACGGAACGCACGTGTGGCAGGAACACTTGCGACCACCACAGGTTGAACACTCGTGCGTCCGACCACGCGTTCTTCTGGCTGAAGTACTTGATGGGTGAGCCCCGGATCTTGAAGCACCGGGGCTCCTTGGCTGTGCCGATAAAAGACAGNCGCCGTCCGTAGATGCTGCGTTCTCGAGAGCACGACGAGCTTTGCGCCCGAATGCCTTGATCGCGTCCCGGTTGACAGGCATTCTCAGTGCCCTCGCCTGCACCAACATTTCCATGACTGCTTGCTCCACCTGGAGAAGAAAAGAGGACATATATTATGCACGGATTTAGCAGCTGTAGTGTGTTCACTGCTGTTACTGCTCTGCTGTATATCATTTCATCCTACAGCAAATACTGCACGGCATGATACAGCGTACCTACGCCACACCAGCCGGTTGCCGAACAAAGACGGCCACAAACATACTCGGAATTAAAGCACTGCTGCTGCTGTAGCGGTACAGCAGTAATGTACCCAAGAACTGATACTAAACTGCTGTACACGGCCCCTGCTTGTACGAGAAAAATTCAAAATTCAAAAATAAAATCAAAATACACTCGGAATTACTGCTGTACTCTGCTGTGTACTGCTGTTACAGCAAACTTAGCTGAGCACCCACCTTCGCAAACTCAGCCCCCTTCGTANCAGCCGGTTGCTGAACAAAAACGGCCACAAACATACTCGGAATGAATCCTTATGTGACTACACCCACGAATGAGCTCCATTCGCAGCTCCGATGACCCTTTCATGCGACATTATCGAACCGAATTGAGCCCGAATTGAGCTGTGGATACCTGCGTGGACGAGGGCTGGACAGGACGAGTAGACCGTCGAAAAGGGACTAAATAACGACGGGGACAGCAGCAGTAGCGTCCCCTTCACAAAAAACAAAGCTTGGGAGTTGCAACGTTGCCGAGCACCCGACCCGCGCTGTGCAAAAGAGACCGCAATCCAGCACGCAGAAACGCGATAATGAGGTCGTTTTTTCTCGTGCTTCAAGCGATTTTTCGCACGAGCTCTCGGAACACTCCTGCTGTGGATTTGGACTCGGACCACCAAGTTGTGTTGCGAGTTGACAAGAGACAGAAGCTAGCTCCTCCTCCGAGTGCTTTGGGCCGGAGGGTACAGGAGCACATCGGTGAGTCTCAGACACTCAGCTTGAAACACAGCACAACATTGACACAAGGTGGAAGGGTTATCACCCCCTTGGCTGGAGCTGGTGTGCATACTGTAGAAGGGGATGGAAAATGCGGGTGGAACGCGCTGCGTGCGGGTCTGCAAGTTTTCCTGGGTAGAGCGAGGACTCCCAACGAGCAGCAATAGCGGGCAGCGGTTGCCCGTAGAGCCATAGAACATGTCATCGGCGCACCCTATGTCCCTGAGGACTCGACAGCGGTACTCTCAAAGGACCAACTTGGGCGGGCCCTGAGTGTGAAGGTACCGCATGTATTGGGGGATGTCGAACACGGGATGGCCGCGGAGGAAAAGACGGTTAGGTGGTTTTGCGATCTAGCCTGGCAAAGTGTGAAGTGGGTTGACATTACCTGGATGTCCTTCCTGGCCTCGGAGTACGGGGTGAATATCACTGGATGTCCTTCCTGGTCTCGGAGTACGGGGTGAATATCACGGTGTGGGAGCCAAACGGCACAGTCCAGACTTACTCAGGAAACAACACGGCAGGCATGTTCTTGTTCGAGAAAGAAGACAAAATGGACGAGGAAGGAGATCACTGGGTGCATCTACTCTATCGAGAGCACGCGAATCCATGGCTAGCGCGCAATCAAAACCATAACCTCAACCACTTTGACCGTCTGCAGCTTGGACACGATGCAGTTGCTTCCTTCGTCGAAGTCGTTGCATCAGCGAAGCTGCAACTAGGCACGGTGACGTTGATGCCGTCAGCAATTTACACAGCAGGCGGGGAGGCGGGAGGGTCTTCAATGGTGGGCAGAGAAGAGGAGGACCATCCCGAGTTCAGCATTGCACCTCTCCCGCGCAGCAGCAACAGCAGTAGCAGCAGCAGCGGGAAGGAGGGGGGAAAGGCTGGAGCGCGAAAGAAAAAGAAGGGAAAGATCGGGCCGAAGGTCGTGGTGAAGCGACCTACCGCGGGGCAGACAGCNAATTTACACAGCAGGCGGGGAGGCGGGAGGGTCTTCAATGGTGGGCAGAGAAGAGGAGGACCATCCCGAGTTCAGCATTGCACCTCTCCCGCGCAGCAGCAACAGCAGTAGCAGCAGCAGCGGGAAGGAGGGGGGAAAGGCTGGAGCGCGAAAGAAAAAGAAGGGAAAGATCGGGCCGAAGGTCGTGGTGAAGCGACCTACCGCGGGGCAGACAGCGGAGAAAAAGAAGCTCAAGGGGAGGGATGCATCAGGGAAGCACAAGGCCGGGGTTGCGCCAGGGGAGAAGCGCGAGGCGGTGGTTGCGCAGGGGAAGCGGAAAGCGGGGGTTGCGCCAGGGAAGCGCACGGCGGGGGTTGCGCCAGGGGATGGGAGAGGTGCCAAAAAAAAAGGCAAGACTACACCGACCGGTGGGAGAAAAGCCAACGGCAAAGACGACAATGCCAACTATGATTCCGACGGCAGCATCGGGGGATGGGACGTAGACCACAAGCAAACCCCGGGCGCCTTCGCTACCATGTCGCAGAACCAGAAAAGGCTTGTCACGGCCATGAAGGTTCCGGAGCGGGGTTACAAGCGGGCGTTCTGGCTGACCAACAAGAGGAGGGCGCTGGATATGAAGGTACGTTTGTGTTCGGGTAGGCTCTTCTGTTGGCATTGTCTGCACGAAAAGGCGGATCAATGAAAAGACGAAAGAGATGATGGTAGTGTAAACTTGAGATTAAAAAAATGAGTGCGCATCGCTAAATACTACATCAAGTACTTCCACAGTTTTCTTTTTTTTTCGCTTGGGATACCATACGGCGAGTACCCTATCCACAATGAACAAACNGGCTTGTCACGGCCATGAAGGTTCCGGAGCGGGGTTACAAGCGGGCGTTCTGGCTGACCAACAAGAGGAGGGCGCTGGATATGAAGGTACGTTTGTGTTCGGGTAGGCTCTTCTGTTGGCATTGTCTGCACGAAAAGGCGGATCAATGAAAAGACGAAAGAGATGATGGTAGTGTAAACTTGAGATTAAAAAAATGAGTGCGCATCGCTAAATACTACATCAAGTACTTCCACAGTTTTCTTTTTTTTTCGCTTGGGATACCATACGGCGAGTACCCTATCCACAATGAACAAACACGGATCAAGATATGCACTTCCGTTCGGCTCGTGTTGTCGCTTGCCTCGAAGAAATAGTATCTTTACGCGTTGGTTAATCGACACCTCCCTGGTTGCTTGCATGATCGTAAGCATTGTTGAGGTTGACGCCTCTGTACCAGGCTGCTGTTGTTCAGCACGGGTGTGGTTTACATTGTTAGCAGCGGGCGACGAACGTTGAGTTCAGAGGTAGTATATAAATGCACGTGCGTGACCTGCCCACCCTGCCGGCCTATGTTATTACCCCTCGCTCCTTGGTTTCGTCGGTGTTGGTGACACCGTAGCGTCGTGCGTCATTCTTTTTTTGCACATTGGNCGTACCAGGCTGCTGTTGTTCAGCGCGAGTGTGGTTTACATTGTAAGCAGCGGGCGACGAACGTTGAGTTCAGAGGTAGTATGTAAATGCACGTGCGTGACCCGCCTACCCTGCCGGCCTATGATATTACCCCTCGCTCCTTGGTTTCGTTGGTGTTGGTGACACCGTAGCGTAGTGCGTCATTCTTTTTTTGCCCATTGGACACAACACTCCGGGGGGTAACTTGACATACCTACCGCGTTGAATCCGCTGTCGACGCTGTTTGTCAATGACGTATTCAACACAGCTCAAGAAGATCGCCGACGAGGAGAAGGCGAGGCTCAAGAAGGCGGATGAGAGAAAAGAAAAAAAACAGCATCGGCCACGCGAAGAGGTGGAGGAGGAGAAGCGGCGGGAGAGGGAGGAGCTAGGGGAGCAGCAGCAGCAGCAGCAGCAGGAGAAGGAGGACGAGGACGTGGATGAGGAGGACGAGGACGTCGTGTGGACGGACCGCGGCATTCCTGATTTTGCGGAGACAGACTACCACAAGAAAAGAGACCAGCGGGAGGCGGTCAGCGCTGCCTCGCTGTCGGCGTCCGCGCGCGAGAAATTGCCCTCTGTCGATACGTTCATGGACAGCCTCGACGAGTCCGGCAAGTTCCCGCTACATGGGTTGATGATGATGTGCTTGGACATGATGTTCCCGGACGAGGCGGTTGACAAGGTGAGCATTGGTCACAATGCCCGAAAGTAGATCCAATCGTATAATACATTCAAGCACGCAGGTATTGCCGGTAGCGACGCATACATGGAGCGAGTGAAGAGCTCCAGTCAGTGTTGTGTATCGTGCTTGTGGTTTGCAAGAGAGGATGGAAGCTCGCGATAGGACTACCTTACCAAATCAGCTCCCCACCTCCCACGCGGGCCCCCCATTGAACAGTGGTACATACACCTCCGCAAAAAAAAGAAACTTTTGAAATGAGCACTACGTAGGTGTGCAACAAAATAGTTTGTTGTGCGCCCTTTCAATGTTGTTGACGTTCCAAGACGCCTGCGGACAGAGTATGCAGATGAAGAAAAGGTGAATTAGACATGTTGCACTGCCCCGGCTTGGGCCAGTGACAACACCTCCTCGTGTATATTCGGCGCGTCGGCGAGACCTCTAGTGCGAATGCCATGCTGACCGTTTCGTTCCTTCGTCTCGTTGTCCCCGTCCTCTTCCGCGGGAAACGTGGTCTATTCGCAGACCAACAAGTACGTGAACCTTTGCACCACGCCACCACTCCCGGGAGCGAAGGACGCGCGGAAAGCTCATCAGGTGAACAAGACGAGAACTCTCGGCNAGACATGTTGCACTGCCCCGGCTTGGGCCAGTGACAACACCTCCTCGTGTATATTCGGCGCGTCGGCGAGACCTCTAGTGCGAATGCCATGCTGACCGTTTCGTTCCTTCGTCTCGTTGTCCCCGTCCTCTTCCGCGGGAAACGTGGTCTATTCGCAGACCAACAAGTACGTGAACCTTTGCACCACGCCACCACTCCCGGGAGCGAAGGACGCGCGGAAAGCTCATCAGGTGAACAAGACGAGAACTCTCGGCATGGTCACGCTGCCCGAACCCGCATTCGCGCGGAAGCACATCTACGGTATGCTTGGCATCACGATCACGATGGGGTTCACGAAGAAAACGC